CCTGACAGAATGCCAATCCCCAACCCCCCCTCCCCCCCGCATCCAGTCGCCTACCCCTACATTATAACATATTTCTTTTCTTAATTCTCTATCATTTGAATTTGGGTCTTACAGCAAAGAGAGGGATGCAGATGCCTGGAGCTTTGCTGACTGGGTAAGAGAAGAGGTGTTTAATTTGAACATCTCCGAGGGTTCAGATGTAAGCTCCTGGAAGACATTTGTGAACTATCTCCTCCCTTCTTATTTTCAAGACTTGAGAGAGGTGCCAACTCAGTCTAGACCCCCAGCATAGCAGAGGGATCAGCCAGCAGCAGAATAACTAGGGCTGCTACATATTCCTTTCAATGACCCCATTCATAATTGAAGAGCTCTCCAAAAATCAATATTAAAAGACTAGATTGAGACAGGCCTTGAGTGGTTCAAAGAACAAGCTTGAAAACGAGTGGTATGGAAGATTTATTTCTATGACAAGGAAAGAGATGCCACTTCCCCTTAAATATCTACATCTCCATTTTCTAAGCTACCTGAAGCAGGGCAAATCTTTTCATCCTTATTACCCAGAAGAATGTATGGCATGCAGTAGGGGTCCTATATATGATAGTTGAAAGAATGAATGAAATAATTTATTCATAACTCCCTGATCAGTTTATTCTTTTAAAAAATATATGTTTTAAAATTGATTTTAGAGAAGAAGTGAGAGAAGGAGGGGGGAAGAGAGAGAGAGAGAGAGAGAGAGAGAGAGAGAGAGAGAGAGAGAAATTAATATGCGAGAGAAACATTGATCCTTGCCTCGAGGTTTCAGACCTGAAAGCTAGGTATGTGCCCTGACTGAATGGAACCTGAAACCTTTCAGTGCATGCGACATACTCCAACCAACTGAGTCATACTGACCAGGGCTAGTCAGTTTATTCTTTAACAGGAAAGAGAGAGAGAGAGAGAGAGAGAGAGAGAGAGAGAGAGAGAGAGAGAGAGAGAGAGAGAAATCCCTAATAAATTGATTTCCACACATTATTGTTTTCCCTGTCATAGACTCTCAAGCTCCATCCCTTCTGTCTAGATTTCCACTAAGGTAATTGGATCCTCTACTTTGCCCGTCCTGATATCTTTTCATGATATATAATACTCTACAGTTGACTAAAGAAAGTGTGTATCATATTCTTTATTTTGTGAACCGATAATGAACAAAATATATAACGTAACACAACCTAATCAAAGTCTCAACACTTTGTTGATAGATCTTAATAAACATTTATGTTTATGAATTAAGGTATTTCTTTATATATGCTTTTTTCTCTTAAAAGTCTCTTTTTGCGGAAACCGGTTTGGCTCAGTGGTGGAGCATTGGTCTGCGGACTGAAGGGTCCCAGGTTCGATTCCGGTCAAGGACATGTGCGTTGGTTGTGGGCACATCCCCGGTAGGGGGTGTGCAGGAGGCAGCTGGTCAATGTTTCTCTCTCATCGACGTTATTAGCTCTCTATCTCTCTCCCTTCCTCTCTGTAAAAAAATCAATAAAATATATATTTTTAAAAAGTCTCTTTTTCCACTTTATAGAGTTCATGCTTTTTTCATTCCTTTTAAAGGGGGGGGGACATTGATTTGCTATTTCCTTAGATGTCACCCAGTTTCCTTTTTCATATTTTAAGAAACTTTCTTTTGAGTTTTTCTTGTCCCCGCGTGTATTTATCTGTAATATTTGAACTGGAAGCTTTTTAGAACAAGGGTTGCCCTCTATAGATGAATAGAGTGATGTTTATTTTTATGTCTATTTTTAGTATTTTTTAAGCCTCTTCTTTTTTTTTCAAAGGAGCTGCAATTGTCATAATACACCTCAAAAAGGCAGATCAGGATACCAGAAACTGAAGAGTCTTGTAGGATGGACATACGAACAAAATGCAATAAAAAGCAGAGGTTAGATATGGTGTAGGTCTGAGTCAGTTATTGAAAAGGTGTGGGGCGATAAAAATTGGATGTGTTATTTGGAAATAACTCTGTTGGGAGGTTCAGGCATGGGAAGAAAATGAAATTCAATAATTGCTCAAGTACTGACTCAAGGTTGAGGAGGATTTAGGGATGAGGAAGACATGTTCCCTAGCCGCCTGCAGTGACGGAGACACACATATACACGTAACTGGAGGGTAAAGCAAACCAGGATAAGGTACTATGTTTATAGAAAAAGGAAATTTAGAAAAAAATTTAAGAAAAATGCAATTTTACTCATTAAGGGTGAAAATTATTCAGAATGCCTGACATTCTCGTACATGAAGCTACTTTTATTAGTTCCTGGAAGCCACAAGGACTATCATTTCCCCAACCCAAAAGCATACCTCATTGTGTATATAAAGTCCCTATGTATTTTGTTTACTGCTTTTCCTAAATTTTGGTAATATAGAATTGTACTTAAGATTTTAGATTACCATATAAGCACTGCAAGTGCAGTTTCCTAAGTTACATGCTTTATTAAGTGAATCTCTATCACTTTTTGAAATATTCCTTGCACTAATGAGTCTTAAAAATTCAAAGATTCACAGCTAAAAGGAATTCCCATACAATATATGGTCGACTTAAAGACTTCTCAGCAACACACAGTCAAAAAGTCAAATATTGCTGAAACTGGTTTGGCTCAGTGGATAGAGCGTCGGTTTGCAGACTGAAGAGTCCCAGGTTTGATTCTGGTCAAGGGCATGTACATTGGTTGCAGGCACATTCCCCGTTGGGGCTGTGCAGAAGGCAGTTGATCGATGTTGTTTCTCTCCCATCGACGTTTCTAGCTCTCTATCCCTCTTCCTTCCTCTTTGTGGAAAATCAATAATATATATATATATATATATATATATATATATATATAGTCAAATATTATAACTGAACTAAGAGATAAGACATTTCTAAAGCCCTAACCAGTTTGGCTCAGTGGATAGAGCAGTGAGCCTATTGATTGAAGGATTCCTGGTTTGATTCTGGTCAAGGATATATGCTCAATTTGTGGACTTGACCCCCAGTTGGAGGCGCACAGAAGGCAGCCAATCAATGATTCCCTCTCATCATTGATGTTTCTATCTCCCTCTCCCTTTTTCTCTGAAATCAATAAAGATATCTTTAAAAAAAAAAAAAAAGATTTGCTTTAGATTTTTAAAATTTGTAATGATAGCACAATATCAAGTCAATAGCTCTTGATTTTCTTGCTATGCTCTAGCTAGTGAACCCTGATGGCAATATGGGACATTTTCTGCTAGTTATTCATTGATTTAAAAAAAAAAAAAAAAAAGAGTATTTTTCTTTTCCAAAAAGTGGGCAGGAGATAAGATGTCAAGAAGTAATCAGTAGTGAAATGAAAAGAGGGGAATGCAAAGGAACCCAACAGAGAAAACATTAAAGTGACCTTATTTTTTTCCCCCTCCCGGTATATGCAGATAGACAGGAAAATTATAGCAGTAATTGCAGACTTCTTTTCACCAAAGACAGATGACCTTGGGGAATTAGAGTAGGAGAGAAAACGTCCTTAAAACTGCATTCTCATCCAGGCCCCGCCTGACTCGCTGGCTATAGCTTTGGCCAAGGTTATTTACCCTTTCTGTGCCTTAGTTTCCTTACACACTGAAAAAGATTATTGGCCTCTTTGAACTACCGGGAAGCTTCATGAGATAATGCTTTGGGGGCACCCAAAACTGGTGAGAAAAAAGGTGCTGTAAGAATACCAAGTTCAGGAGTACTGTTGTTATTGAACGGTGGATCCTGCTGGAATGAGTCATCTTGCTGCGAAGATGCATAAGCAATTCCAAGGGTGGCCATGGACCAGACACAATAGGAAGAGGCAAGTATTCCTAAGTTAAGGGAGAAGATCTGATTTGCAGTGAAATCTGTCCTTCTCTGTTCAAAGAACATATAAGGGGTGAGGGTGTGGGGACAGAAAGGGGTAAAGAAGATTTTAAAAATAAGTATAGCAATGTGGTTGTACAAATAGACTTTTGAAATACTGGAGCCTAAATACCAAATTCAGGCTTTGCCACTCACTACTGCGACCTTGGGCAAGTTGCTGTTTCTATCAACCTCATTTTTCCCCTTTCAGAAAATGGGCATTATGATAGCATCTGTAGGGCTGATAGGGGGATTTAAAACGTACACCCTTTCAAGGACTCTGCAGAATGAGCTTTTATTGTAATTTATGGGAGATAAGAAAAAGTGGAAATCCAGATTGACAAACAGTGAATCTTTTTTCTTTTTTTTTAAATGTAAGAGAAAAAGCAAGTTTTTATTTTATAAGACATTCCATGATGGAAGGGGCCTGGGAAGGGGCACATCTGTTTTTTCTCCAAGTCTGAATCCACTTCCAGTTCACCGATCTGATCACTCATCCAACCTTGGATATATAATCTGGCGCACAAAACACACACAACAGGAAAAGCCTCCCGCGTGCTTTCATGAAAACAGCTTTTCTATTTTCCAGAGACACACACATACACGTTAGGGGAAAAAAAAAAATCTCTCGGGGGAGCCAACGGATCTTCTAAAACAAAGCCCCTGCGCCGGGCTTTTGTTGTTGGAACTGAGAGCCCTCCGGAGCGCGGGGACCGCGGGGCTCGCGCTCCCCGCCCCGCGCGCGCGCCGGGCCGGGCAGCCTGGGGCGCAGCCCCGGGGGCAGAGCGCGGTCCCGGCTGCTTCTCCCCATCGATCCCGGAACCTGCGCCGGGCGCGGGGGGCGGGGGCGCCCGGGGCGCGGGGGGCGGGGGCTGGGCGCGGGCGCGGCGCCGCCCTCCGGCCCTGCCCCCGGGCGCGCGCGGCGGGGCGGCCGGGCCGCGGGGATGCGGAGGGGCGGCGGCGCGGGCCGGACCCAGCGGCGGCGGCGGCGGCGGGGCGGGCGCCGCCCGAGGGGGTAGCGCGGGGGCGCGCCGGGCTGGGACGCGCGCTCCGGCCGCGCTCGCTCCGCGCTCCCTCGCTCTCTCGCTCGCTCCCTCCTCCCGGAGAAGGCGGCGGCGGCGGCGGCGGCGGCGGCTGGGGATCAGACATGGCGGCGGATCTGAACCTGGAGTGGGTCTGCTCCCTGCCCCGCTCCTGGACCTACGGGATCACCAGGGGCGGCCGCGTCTTCTTCATCAAGTAAAGACCGGGGGGCGGCGCGGGGGCCCGCAGGGCGCGGGGGGCACTGGCGGGGCCGGGGGAGGGCTGCGGGGCGGAGAGCGAGCGGGGTCTGCGCCCTCCGGTCCCCCCGGGGCTCCGCGCCCCCCACTCACGCCGGGTCTCTGCCCCTCTCTCTGTCCCCCCGCAGCGAGGAGGCCAAGAGCACCACCTGGCTGCACCCCGTCACCGGCGAGGCCGTGGTCACCGGCCACCGGCGCCAGAGCACAGGTAACCTCCGGCCGCCGGGCCCGAGCGGAGTTGGGCTCCGCCGGGAGGAGGCGGCAGAGCCCGGCCGCCCGCCCGGCCGCCCGCCCCCCGGCCCCTGCCCCGCGCCGCGGCCCCGGCCCCCTCCCCGGGGTCCGGGCGCCCCTCTGCCCCGCAGCCTCTCCTCGCCACTTGGAGACGGCGCCCTCTCCCCATCCCAACCTGGACACCCCCATCCACCACCCCCCTGGCGCGGCCGATCCCCCCCCTCTCCCCGGAACCCGGAGGTGTTCCTCCTGCAGCCCCTCCTGAACCCCTTTCCACTCCCTTCCCTAACCCCAATAAACCTGCCCCCTTTCCACCGTTAGGAAGTCCTTTCCCGCGCCCCTCCCTGCAGCCCGGGAGCCTGCCCTGGTCCGCGGGATCCTGTCTCCACATCCCCTCCTGCCTGCGGGAGAGCTGCCCCCTCCGGCGGCCCCTCCTCCCCCTCCTCTCCCCTCGGCGGGCTCGGCGGGCAGGTAGCTGGTGGAAGAAGAGGAGAGAGGAGTTTGGGGGTGCTGCGAGCCTCCCTGGAAACGCCGGGCGCTTGGCTCGCCCTCCTGCCCCAAGAGGAGGCATGTGCGGCCGCCGTCGCCGGCCCGATTCAAAGTCCCCGGCGGCCGCCAGGAGGCGGGCAAGGGGGTGCAAAGGGGTGCCCCCTGGGTGGCCGTTTGTGCCCCAATTGGAGGGGGTCGGCGGGGAAGCAGATCTCTCTCCCCGATGCCTTTGGCGGCAGCTGGTTTGCACGCTCACATGTGCGTGGAGCTGGAGCAGGGCTGGCTGCGGCTCCAGTGCCGGTCTGGCTTTCTTTTGTCATTCTTTGTTTACATTCGTGAAACTTGTTTGCCTTTGAAATGGAACATGTGTTCTCGTCACTGGCCTGCCTCTCAGGCTGGTGGTTTGGAGAGAGGCTGGAGAGCAGTTTGGGTCGGAGGGGAGGCCGGCTCCAGCAGTGTTTTAGGGAGCTGTCTTCCAGGATACTCCTCCCTCTCTCTCTCTCTCTCTCTCTCTCTCTCTCTCTCTCTCTCTCTCTCTCTCTCTCTCTCTCTCTCTCTCTCTCTCAACTCTGGGGTTCTGTGACTCCCAAGTTGCCAGGGTATTATTGGACAAACCTGCCTTTTCTCTTTTAAATCCGGAGTGCACCAAAAGTGACTAATGTCTTCTAAATTTGCAAAAAGGTGGAGGAGGAAAAGGGAAGGTTAGCGTCGCAAACATGAGATTACATTTTTAAAAAGGCATTTCTGACTAATCACACCGTCATGTTTAACTCCCCGGAGCAGTCTCCGACTTAAATATAACCTTTCCATGGTTTGCATACATATTTCAACTTTGCTGCTGGCCTCTTTGCCCTATGGATAGTAACACATTTATTTCAGAAGACGATATAGTATTTGAAGTTATTTAACTTAATTGTCTTGTGGGATTGTTTTTCTTGCTTATTTTGATTATGGGCATCCCATATTTACCCGCTTAGATTTGATAACTTTGACACCACGGGAAAATTTTATTCTCAGATAATTTCACGTTCATTTTTTTTTTTTTAAGTGATCTTTTTTGTTTCTGGCTTGGTTTTTCTTTGCTTTGATTCTGGTTTTGTACACATGTCAATGCTTTTTGTTTCCGAGAGAGATTGATTAAACCCAAGCCACTAGTCATTTATAAATAATATGCAATAAAGTCACCATGGTTCATCTGAATTACTTGGGACTTGAATTTTCTTAAAGTCAAGTCTATAGAAACACACATGTATAAGTATGTGAAGTCCCGATTTCTTTCCTCTGATTTTGTATTTAGGAAGTATTTTCTCATCAGTGACACTTCCTGGATGGGTTCATTAATGTAGCCGAAAGGAATGGCCTTAAATAGACACAGAATACCTAAGAAGAAGCAGGTGTTACCTTTTATGGACAGGGCTTTTTTCGTTTGTGTTTTTTTTGTTTTGTTTTGTTTTGTTTTGTTTTTTGCCAGCTGCTCAGGGTTATTTCACCTAAGATTAGAAGATTTGGTTTTTGGGTGTCAACATAAGTCCCCTCCATTCTGATCTTTAAACTATATGATCGTATCAGGTAATCTCTAATATAGTGAGAGATTATTAATATTGAGGTGCTTTTCTGATGGCTTTCGATTTGAATTGCCATTTCCCTAAAAATGATATTATATCTACTCTGTTTTATTACCAGCTTGACACATTTTTTTTTTGTTAGAAACCTACTTAATAAATGCAAATAACTGTCCATGAAAATGAATGGTTAAAATGGATTAAGACTTATTTTGCTATTCCATTGAAGTAATACTAATTGTGAAATGTATGTTTTTTTAGATTTGCCCACTGGCTGGGAAGAAGCATATACTTTTGAAGGTGCAAGATACTATATAAAGTGAGTGTTTTTTTTTTTCTATTATGGGTTTTTTTCCCTTGATAATTCGAATGTTGTGATTAATCTTCAGTTGAAGAGTTAGTTGTATGTGTGTAGATAGGCTTATGATTCTTAAAAAAAAATTTGTATAATAGGGCCTTTCCCCCTTCATATGGTGGCGTAATTTTGAGAGAAAAGATGACACTCTTCGTTGCATGTTATTTGCTTGGGCACACATGGATTTGGCAGTGACATCACGTATGGCCACAATTACGTTTCTGGTCTTTCCGATTACTGGGTGATAATAGTATTATAATATTTTAGTCTTTAGCATGTCATCTTTTTTCCCTCCTCTTTGAATGTGAATTCTGTTCATGTGTTTTTTGTTCCATGCTGTTAAGAAGTAGCAGAAGTGATGGAAAGCTAGGTTACAGTTTGATGAGCAATATCAGGGTTGAAAGTGAAAACAAATAAATACTGAATATTTCACAAATGCCTGCCGAGCATTGTTTGTAACCTGCCTCAGTATTTAAATATATCTAAGTTTTTGTAAAATAGATCTAACTGTGTTACCGATGTCTGTGATTGAGTAAAAGGCTTTCGGTGAAGCATGCAGAGGGATGATCAGTCAGTCTTGACCTCTGAACTAATTCTATGAACTATTGAACTAATTTCTATGCACCGTTAACTTGGTAGTACTTAGACACAAATGCAGTGCTTGAGGGCAAATACTGGTATGTAGGAAAAATTTTTATCTCCCAAGAGAAAATAAAGGTGGTTTCATATTTACTTCAAACTAGAAGCTCGTTTACTTAAGAGCATGTTTTTTTGTCATTTAAAATTTTTTTGCTTAAAGCTAAGGAACTGAAGCTTGAAGGATAATATAAGATTTGCCTGAGATGTCAATAGTTTACTCATAATAATAGATACCTAGCTAAAGTTACCTTTATTTCCTCGGTCCCTGTAAGGTATTTTTAATTTTTACCAAGTGACATTTTTTAAGAGGATGCCATACTAACATTAAATTATCATTGCTTATATGACTTTAACTTTTTTTAGAATGATATTCATATAAAATGTCAAGGGATATTTATAGGTATTAGAAATGCTTGCTCTTGGACGTAGAATAGAGAAAGCACAAATGTGGTACTACTGGATATTTTTCAATTACATCTTTTATTTGGAGATTGTGTGATACACTATTAGATGGCCTAAAAGCTAAAGTAAAGTGCGGAGTCATCAAAGTATTTTTTTTCTAGTGCTTATTGTCTTAATTTAAGGTGAGTGTTTATTGGCATGAAAAGGGATGCTTCTTTTATTTTAATTTTTTTTTATGTAGTCTTAATGCTTCTGAAGATGTTCATTTATTTCTGTCCAATATAATTTTAACTAAATAAGCTTCACTGACTTATAAAAATAGGAATGACACAACAATCCTCAATGTTTTAATTTCTGTGATTGTGTACATTCTTAGATGAATGTTTATTTGAGAGTACACAATGTTATTCTGTATGTTTTACTTTAGAACTAAGCTGCTTAAGAGACTGAGTTTTCTCTTGTTTTACTAACCATTGTGATTAGACCTACTTTGATGTTGACTTAAATAAGAATTTTCTTTTGAGTGTCATGCCTAAGTAAGTTTCTCAGGAAAATGAGGGACAGTTAAGTAAGCTGTAATTTTACTTTAACTCCGAGGACCTTTTAAGACTAGTAGTTTTTAATCATTTGGTATTAAGAGACATCCAATAATTGTGTCTAAAAGTAACAATAAATAATTTAGGTTATAAAAGTAATTTTTTCCAAAATTGAGCATTTATAGAAGCACATCACTCATTGAACTTATTTTACATACAATTTATGACTTGTTGAGTGGTACATAGGTTTTTCCTTCCTGGGTTATATCAGAAGACTAATTTCTTTTAAGTTTAGTTGTATTCCCAATGTAGACTGTAATTTCCTGGAAACTTTTTACTTGTGTTGTTTTGAGCAATTAGGGATGCTTTGCCATTTTAATATGATGGCACTACTTTTATCTTAAAAGCTTACAGTTTACAAAGCGCTTGCCACATATATTACCACGTCCGAATCTCATTTTAATCATGAAAGTAGGAGGAAGAATTACTATGTTCATGGTCACACCATGTAATAAAATAACAGAAACATGCCTTTGGAACTTAACAGCCTGCAAAGATAGCAAGATGAGAAACAGCAGGAACAGGAACTATATTTAGAATGTTCTGAGTAGAAGAAAGGATAGGAATCTGAAGTAGGGAAGTGATTAATGTCGGTGAATGTAATTTCTCTTTGTTGGTTCTTAGATGAAGAAAAGACATTGATCAGATTATAAGAAAAAGAGGTGATGCAGTAAGCAGAATGGATTTTTGTTCACATGCGAAGAGGGAAGGTGGGCCAAAAACAGATCCATCAACCTCTTGCTTATTCCTAATCATGTGTTCCTGGGAGGCTCCCTTAGCGAGAAGGGAGATCTAGAGAACTTGAGGAACATTTAACTCTCTTTCTCTCTGGAACATACGTTGGCTATTGCTCAAAAGGGCAGATTGCCAAAAAGCATTATCTTTGGATAATGGTTTGATATTGACCATGGGATCAATGTGTGTGGTAAGGCACCCAAGTTGGGAAGAGTCAGAAGAGCTGGACAGTGGTCTTAAACCTCTCAATCACTTTGGAGTTGTCTTCATAACTGTCTTGTTTTTATTTTTAGTTCCCCATTCACCCTCTCTTACCTCCCCCTACCCATCTGTCTTCACATCTTTATATAAGGCTGGCTGAAAAAGGCAACTTATGAATCCTATTCCATTTTGCCCGACTGGCATGGCTCAGTGGTTGAGCGTTGACCTGTGAACCAGGAGGTCACGGTTTGATTCCCAGTCAGGGCACATGCCAGGGTTGCAGGCTCCATCCTCATTGGGGGGTGAGGGGGGAGGGCGTGCAGGAGGCAGCCAATAGATGATACTCATCATTGATGTTTCTCTTTTTCTCTTCCTCTCCCTTCCTCTCTGAAATCAATAAAAACATATTTTAAAAAGGAAAGAAAATAGTTTTTAAAAATAAATAAATTCTATCCCATTTTTAAAATTTTTTGGATTTTACACTATTCTGGGAATTTACAATAATCTACAAAATAATGGACTCCCAGTTACCAAGAAGAGGCGTTGTGGGAAACTGGGAACGCTACTTAGCTTCCCTATCTTGCTTAACTATGTTAGCCTCTCTCTCTCTCACCTTTTACAGACAGCCACAGATAAGCACGAAGCCGCAGTGGCAGGGCTGTGCAGGCTTGCTTTCGGTTGCTGCAGTTTGTACTTTGTACGCATCTTCCCTGCAGAGCTGCAGGAAGCAAGTTAATCGTGTTCATGTCAACAAAGGGCCTGGTTAGAGTAGCAGTTGTACAGATATGCGTTGGATAAATTAGTTTATGTTTCTATACACTTTTTGAATTGGTTTTTAATAAAAGTTTACAGTTAGGTAGCAGAATATGTACTATAGAGAATGTATTTTACTCTAAATCCCTAAGGCCAAAAAAATGTTGGTATTTGAAAATTAACTTATCACAAATATAGGTATTTAATACTTTCCATTCTTTTCTGTGAAACCTTTTTCTGTGTACCTGAAGCCGGCCAACCTGTAAATGATCATATTACGTGTGTGTGTGTGTGTGTGTGTGTGTGTGTAAATATATGTACACAGAGTTTGATTTTGATTACTGAGTTTCTTTATTGCTTTTAAAACTTAATTCATGCTCTTTATCTTTAGAAATAATTGTTAGTGAGCTTCATAATTTATAAAGTGTAGCTTAAAATAGTCAATGCCTTAGCCCATAAAGTACAGAAAATAATTTTACATGTTTAAAAATTATAAAGCTTTCTGCTTACTCCTTGAAAATAACACTTAATGATGCCGCAATGACAGGTCACGGTAACTTAAATGGATGTGTCATTGACTGTTCCTTTGTGTCTCATAAGTTTTGAGATGGTTAACTTAAAGTGTTGGTGAGTCTTAAAACAATGTCCTCTGAATAGTGAGAAACTTTGTTCTGATTATTTAAAGGTCATCGTTTTATGTGGCAGGATGGGAGATGAAAAAAAGTCATTGTAGGATAATAAGATAGTATGTAAATTTTGAGGTTATATTCTCTCATACTGCTTTTTCCTTGGCTTAGATTTTTTTTTTTCAGTTCTGAAAATTGAACTTCTTAGATATGCAAATAGAACAGTGTTTGATTTTGACTAATGGAGTTTTATTTCAATATCTGCAATAGCTGCATCTAATGTGTACTGAGAACTTCAAACTAACCTTCAATGAGGGGAATTTCTTACACGAAGTAGCCGTATAAGGTTGCAGGTGATTTAAAAAAATGTTATGGTTTTGTTTTATTTTGTTTTTTTAGTGTTTCTTCATAGATTACTACAATCCAAAATGTGAATGAAGATGGGAACATAAAATAACTGCTGCAAGAATATTAGGATATATTACTGTGTATTTCATATTTAAAATGTTTGATATATCTTAGTACTGTAATATAATAATTGGATTTTGATTACTAAAGTAATAACTGTATGCCGCTCAGAACAATTAATTGACATTGTATTTCTTTTTTATGTTCATAACAGAGTTCAGACTATAATAAGTAATTCTTATGAGTGTAAAGCGCTTTATACTAATTCAGTAGGCACAACACAACTATGAACAATCTTCCAGGAGTTTGTAGTATAAAGACATGTATTAAAAAAGGGCGATGGTATGGGAATCACAAATTTATATAATGCTGGGCATTTCAGCATAGCATTAAATTAATTTAAATCTTCACAGTAGCCTTTTAGGGTTTTTTTGTGTGTGTTTTTTTTTTTTTTTTTCCAGATGATGAAACTGAAACTTAAAGAGGTTAAGGACCAATTGTAGGTCATACAGCTTCACTACTAGACACTAGCATTCGAATTATGGGCTCTGGCTAAAACTCTTCTGCACCTAAAAAATCTGCTGGGGCTGGGCAGCATTGGTAG